CGATACGGGACAAATGTGGTACATTAGACGGCGTTTACCGCCAAACTGTGGCCGTGAAGGTGGGGGTAATACTGTGAAATACTTTATTTTAGCTGGAAAAACTTTTTGGGTGTTTTGTGTGGATTTTATTTTCACTGATTATTGAAGAGTTGAATGTAAAATATAGGGAAAAAAAATTATATTCGCTGGATTTTATTTTTGCTGAATCATTCCTTCAGCGAAAATAGCGAAAATTAATTCCAAGCGAAAATAAAGTATTTTACAGTAGCCGTGTTTCGTGTCCCGTCATCGCTAGCTGCGCATGTGTATACGTTCATTGAGTACTTTGGACATGCTTTGTCAGTTTTCATTCAAATTTAGTACATAGATCATACATGTTAGGATACATGTCCTGCGGGAAGTGGTAATAGTGGGGGAAATGTGGGGAGTTTGTTTTGGGTGGAGATTTGCCTATCCTTCTTGCCCCAGGAGGTGGGGAATTTGGCAAATTTTACAACAATAATTTCCAAATCCCCCACTACATCCTGAGGTGGGGGAGGGTGGGAGTTGACAATGACTGGAGCATAAAAGACAAGCAAATAATAATGTGGATTGAATAAGGTACTGTACACAAGCTAAATTGTCTGTTAGATATCGTAGTAAACTTGTAAATAACATGATATACAAGATAATTAGGCCGAAACAAAAAAAACAGTTTTGCTTCTCAACATTACATGCACCAGCCTGAAAACTGCACCTCACATTTTTTCCTCCAATTTCACATAGAGTACTAATGAAGTGCGCCACCAATGGCAGAATGGGGAAATGTTTGTTTTAAAACATCAGAGAATGTTTTAATAAATGCTACATTGAAATAATAAATGTTAAATAATGAAAGCATATCTTCTTGTTGCGATATTCAATAATCATAAAACAAAAACAAATTAAATCACATCACATTTTTCAATTTTATTTGCATTGAAAAGCAAAAACTTTTTTTTTTATCTAAAGAAAAGGAAGTTGTTATAATGTTGATTTCACTGAAATCATGCACTGGTGCAGCCATCTTAATGATTAATGTATTGTTGTCATGACAACGGTACTTACCCAAAGGTAGTATGTGAACTGGAGGGCAAAGATAGCTATACCTTCATTATCAAAAGAACCCGCCACGGATCGCGAAATATATCCAGGCACTGAAAATAAATAAAAATTAATTAAAATGTGACATAATATTAGTGTGAACACTTGACGTTTAGTTGGGACCACGACAGAACCAGAACTTGAACTGGACGTGTATGATACACAGTTTATGTTGAAGTTAAAAGTTCCGCCACAGAATTGTGCATTCGTTTGGCAAACATGCTGTACAACTGCAGTACTCCACTGACGAGATGACTTTTGTTGACAGCGGTTGTCGCTGAGCTGCATGCTACAACTTCGTGTGTGATGTTGCTTGCTGGTCGTGGATTGACTGAGTCTTGATTACCGGTTAAAATGTTGCTCTTTTGGCGTTGGTAATTTTTATTTGGAACTGAGTAACGCCGCAACGTCGCCAGCAGAAACCTGGTATCTCGATTGCTGATGGTTGCGGCTGCAAAGTAATCGCCGATTTTAATGCTGGTGGATCTTCAAAGTTTATAAAACTCAGTTTCCAGGTGGTCAACATACATTAAGTTCTCCCAATCGTAGTATTCCATGTGATGTACACCTAACACGTCAAAAATGTTGCCTGACATTTGAATCGAACAAAAATAGCAGACAAAAATGTGTTTACAAAATAAAAATAGTTCAATAGCCGAAGGAAATACCATGTTCATTTGCATATCCGAAATACCGAAAACATTATTGCATGGGTGATATGCAAATTAGTTTTTGTCAAAATAAGTGACTGGCTGAAGGTACCATTACTGGTGTTCGAATTTCATTTCACTCGGCAAGTATATTCATGCACCACAAGTAAAAAATATTGTACTTCTTAATATTGTTTATTTCTGCTATGTTTCGAAAAACGGTACTCCTGAAGGGACTACTTTGTTTGTTCTCAGACCTCATTTGCATATGAAGTGTTGAAATACTGATTTTGATTTCAGGGACGAATCAAAATAAACTGCAGTACATATGTAATAATATGTTCTACGCTAAATTTTACATATTCACTAGGTTTTAATTTAGCGCATTTTCCAGTCAGCGAAATAAGCAAAATTAAAACCCAGTGAATAATTAACCCTTCTACAGTATATGATCTTTGTGTCTGGAGACATTAACATAATATATATAAATATATTGGCTTCTCTAACTCTTTGATAAATGAGGCTGTATTTCCAAGAAATGGCAATCGACACATCTAAATATATAAAGATGGTTTCCCATGAATCTTTGCTGCAATTCCGGGAACTATTTTGATATTTGAACCTATACACAGACTTTCCAGTGAAAACAATATTTTAAATTTACATTTTTATACATATACCAGCAATAGCATTAAAAACCATTTCAATTTCATAAAAATTATTCCCACTTTATATTATATGCAGAATATCTCCCACTGATCACAATGAAAAATGATAAAATCAGTTGCCATGGCAACAAATCCTGAAATATTGGAGTATAGAAGCTAGCTTGCACTGAAGAGTTGTATATAATCACAAATAAAAATCAAAAAATAAAAATAATTAATTAATAATTATAAACCAATCAAGGCCCTATGGCTTGTTAAGGCAGTTTAAATACATCATTTAAATAAATTGCGCCCTCTACTGATGACGTCAATGGGTGAAGGCATCGTTTTGAAGCCCATTGTCATGAATAATTTCAACTTATTCTTTTTGTGGTGTCTGAAAATTTTACTGTAAATGCATTAATTATTCACTGGTTAATTTCGCTATCTGATAAGTAAAATCCGCTAAATTAAATCTAAGAGAACATGTAAAATAAAAATAAAACTTAAAAGTTTCCTTGACAAAATTTAGTGACTTTATTCATTGTATTTTTCAGTGCTTTATTTCTTGTAATTATTTTTAGAGTATTAAAGCCAGGAGCTTTAACTCAATATTTTGGTGTATGTGTATTTCATTTCCAGCACTATTGTCTTGTCTACCCAATTCTAGCAGCGAAATAACCCCCTGTCCAGTGTGAGTTCAGTGGGTGGCCTTCTCAATTGTGATAAGCAGGCCTTACACTGTGACAGTGAATATGCTTAAAAAATCAAAATGCATCTAGTGAAATTAAATATCAGAGAAAATAAATGGTTTTACAGTATTAATATGAGACATATACAGACAGGTTACTCTGCAGTTTAGATACATGTCAGTTTTTAAAGCAATCTAAGCTTATATATATTTTTTTTTCTTCTATAAAAATGCTAAGGTCAGACTTTTTTTATTCCTTATTTCTCGAGTTTTTATAAGGTAATTTTTTTGAGGAGGGCGAAAAAAAAATAAAATTAATTCTTTTTTTCCATTAGATTTGTGTGATTCTCAAAGAATTGTAAGTGAGGTCATTGACGGAGAGAAGAAATGAAATAAAATTCTATTCTATGTATAACCTTGTTTTTCATCTGATACTCCCACGAAAATGCAACTTTGGTTTGTTATGCGGCGAGCAGGAAAAAAATGAAGATAAAAGTTGTTTTTTTTTGTAAATTTTTGCACTTACAAGTCGCGGGCGCGAGAAATTACGCTGACATAAAATTTAATTTTTATTTCATTTTCAGCTCCTGTTCATTTGGCATGTTCGCGAAACAAGGGATAATAAAAGTCTGGCCTGATTAAACTTAAAAAATATTTTATCAACATTTATAAAAAATATCATATTCTGAATTTTTTTTAAATTTCAGAAAAGTTCTCACTACTTTTTTCTATGTCAAGAAAAATAATAATTTGGAAATATTTATGTTGTGGTTTTGACTGAAAGGACTTGATGAAACAAAGCATAGGAACTATTGATATGATGTTTGATTGATCTGAATCTTGTATCGCTATGGTAACATAAATGCACCCTTTCAAACGGCGACATCCCACGTCATATCTCACGTTATTAATTCACCAACTGTCAACAACATCTCAAGTATGCATATTTCATTGACCTCATCACCACTGTTTTCAACTTGTGTCCATCCATCAAGTAGTTCCTCATATAAAAATTTGTTAACATTAAAAATTAGATATTTTCACGAAATTTTAATAAAAATATATTAAGCTTTATAATTCCAACCAGTATGTTTTAGAGAAATAAAAAATTTAAATATGAGAAAATTTGTTGAAATATTTTGGCGGGAAAACAGTTTGGCTGTAGGTGAGATGAAATGAATCATTATTTTTTCTTATCATACTTTTCCCACTCTGTAATAATATTCATATTTTATGGAATATAAAGAGTTTTATGAATAAAGAAAAAGTATTACGTTTAATTTCTTTTCAAATTTTAGCATAAATTTTTAAAATACAAAAATATTAATAAAAGATAACGATACTGTAAAATACTTTATTTTAGCTGGAATTAATTTTCTCTGAAAAGACATTGTGGATGTTTTGGTAGGAAATTTATTTTCACTAATTTTTGTCGAGTTAAATGTAAAATACAGAAAAAAAAATTATATTTGCTGAATTTTGTTTTCACTGAATTCCAAGCAAAAAATAAAGAAATTAGTAGGAAGTAAAATTGTACTGCAGTATTTTAGTATTTCAGTATAAGCCACTCCGGTTCTTTGTTTTTGCTTTTTGTTTTTGTGTACGTGACATTTTATTTTAGAAGGATATATACTGTATCATATACTGTAAAAGGATTAATTATTCACTGGGTTTTAATTTTGCTTATTTCGCTGACTGGAAAATGTGCTAAATTAAAACCAAGTGAATATGTAAAGTTTAGCATAAAACACATTATCTAAATGATAAAACCGTGAATTTAAAACCTACTGAATATGCCTGAAATGCTAAATCAGCAAAACTTAAACCCAGTGAAAATTAATCATTTTACAGTAATATAAATATGACGTCACTATATTCAGTTCTGAGAAAAGGAAGTGAAAATACTGTACAAGGCAGCTGTAACTTAACTCCTGCGATGGCTCCCGGCAAGATTTGCCATTTCATAAAAACTTGTATTTTTCTCAATACATTGTCTGTTGAATATGTTTTTTTCCCCATTCAATTTGGGTTTCTGTGATGGCTTTCCAGCAGACGATAATTTTTTTCTATTTTTTTTTTTTTATTTATTTTTATTGTGCCAGGCGACAGGTTTGGACATTGAATGTCACTTTTTTTGTACATGTACAGTACAGTTCTCGCGGAAGCTTTGGCTTTTGTGGCATCATTGTCGCCTACGCATGGCTTCATTGTCGCCTCAGCATCGCATCATTGTGGCATCAGCTTCGCGTCATTGAAAATTGAAGCTGTGTTCGCCTCGCTATTTTGTGGCATCATCGTGGCCTCAGCTTCGCAGTCTCATGGCATCAACATGGCATCAGCTTCAATTTATTATGACATGAGTATGACCTCATTATTTGCACGCAGAAGGGCAGTAGACAAAAACATGTACAGAAGTTCGATATGTAATCGATTTGAAATTCAAGGCGAATAAAATAATATGATCAAGAGTAAAATGACATTTTAAAAAGATATCTTGTTTAATTATTTTAGTGTTGCGAGTATTGGGCACCAAAAACTTTGCGAAGTACATTACAATCGGC